AGGCAAGAACCAAGCTATGGATTCAACCCATAGCTCAGTTCTGCAAGATCTCAGCAGCCAAGCACCAAGCTATGGATTGAATCGGCTGCTTAGCCCAGGGGTGTCAAACTTCTAGCCTGCAGGCCAGATGCATCATGCCAAAACTGCGCCCACCCCAATGTCGGCAATGGAAAAAAAGTTGTGACATGTTGCAACATGTCACATGACATCGTGAGTTTGACACCCGTGGCTTAAGCCTTCTGAAAAGGCCTGACTGCAAAATGCAGGCCTGAATGAAGCTGCAGAACTTCAGCCTCAGAAGAAGTGGAATGGCTGGGTGGGCTGTCGGTGCCAGAAATGAGGTAAGGCCTACACCAAAAATAAGACCTGGTGCCTCTTTTGGAGGCAAAAAAAAAAAAAAGACCAGGTCTTATTTTCAGGAAAACATGGTATTACTAAGTCAACAAGATTTTGTGCTGAAAATTCTGGATTCCCTATAGGTTTTTTTTTCTGTTGTTACAAATAAAACTGGAGTGACTGGGAACATAAAGTCTACTGTGTTAAGATAGAGATATATAAAACTGTATGTCAGTATATAGAGAAACAAATTAGAGACTGTATTGTATAGGAAAATATGTATATAGAGAGATTAAGAACTATTATAAGAGCAAACAAACACGAACACCAGGAAAAATATAAAACTAGAAATATTTATTCTAATGCCAAGCTTTCGTCGGCCAACTGCCGACATCATCAGGGCTTAAAACCAGTCAATGGGAATCTCTTTTATACTGCTAGTCAATTTGTGCACACAGCTCCTGGACCTCATCATCAGTCCTACTTGATTGGGCTGCGTGTGGATTATGTTCTTGATGTTAATTGATGTTAACGCTCCATTATTCTGCTTCCTCCACTCTCCTTGTTTGTGCATATGTTGTTATCTATCTCCTTGCTACAGGCTCGTAAGTTCAGCATATCCCTTCCCCCCCCCCCTTTTTTTGGCGTTCGTTTCCTCCGTATCTTCCCAGTTATTCCTTCTCGCCCCATTGGGGCGTGCGTTGGGTATTCTCCTCTCATCTTCCCCCCCCCCCCGCTGTACTTCCCATATGTTCATGGCCAATTCTGGAGATAGTCTATGCATCTTAAAGTTGACAAGTTTGAAAAACATTTCTCTATTCATCCAGACATGACATACTGACTAGCCTACACATCAAAGGAAATGAAGAAGAAAAAACTGGCATTAGAAAGAGCACTGATCTTAAAACATTGAGTTTCTCTAAACCACTGACCTTGAGGGAGACTTATTTGGTTCAAAGAAACTTGAACAAAGATACTTGAAAGAGAGATTGAAGATGAAGATATGAGTTATAGTTCATCAAAAGTTTCATTACTATGACTCGAACAACAATGCTGTTGTCATTATTGTCATTATTTAGATTTGTTGTGGCTCCCACTCCAAAAAACTGTGTAGCTGAGAATGTCTGTATCATAGCCAAGTAGAGCCAGTAGAGTTTGCATACAAGTTCATATTTCAGGATAACACATATACCAGAGGAAGGGGATATAATTCAGAGAAGCTGGTGTCAGTATAAAACTCAGTTTTAAAGCTGCTATTGGATTCTTAGTCTATCTTTTCCAATATAATGCATTAACAAAGATGTATTTCAAAAGAACCAAACATATCTGAGAAAAATTCCTACTTTAGTCTCAAAAACAAGAATTACTTTGACCCAGAGGTTTAAGAAACTAAGCAATTATATGTGAATATGTGGATAGAGTGGGGATATACCCTTGTAGTGATCTCACAATAGTCTTCCTAATAAATTGACGATAGCTTGATATTATGTGGGTGAAACTATTGCCAACTATTAGATTTTTGTCATGGTTAAGTCATATTTAATCATTTATTGTCAGAGCATTTGTTTCTCCATCTTGATTAGATCCACTTCTGTTCACCCTCAGGGCCATAAAGACCTAGTTTAATGATCTTCCATCTTCGCCTTTGTCAAATGCATTAATGTACACCATACCCTAAATGACCTAATCATTCATTGTAGCTGCAGCTCATTAATTTGTTTAAGTACTTGGATTACAAGCAGCTTCTGATGTTTGAAGTGCTAGTTAATGTGTCTTATTCATTAAAGAAGTTTGAGAAGAATTTGCAGTTAAAATCAAAGGGGATCTCTGCAAATGAAATGATACACAGAAATTTCATATCTGTTGTAAAAAAAAGGAATAAATTGTTCTGCATCCACTGTTTTATGTCCCAATTAAGAACTGTAAGTTTTAGACTTCTTTTTATTGCGTTTATTATTTATTTATTATTTATTCACAAGAATAAAGATACAGGAAGCAAAAAAGAAGATAAACAACTGCTAGTAAAACATGAAAAAAAACATAATATAGATTTAGACATAGAAATATAAAGGAAAAAAACACTTTTGATAATACATTCTTCTCTTCCCTTGTATTTATTTTCCCAACCACTAATCACTAGTTAAATATCTGTACTGTACTTTGAATGTTACACGTTGGAGATTTCTGCTAATGTACATTTAAGTTATTTCAATTTAAATTATTAATCAATTATTGTTTATTATTGTCCCCTTAAAAACCATATCCCAAATGTTTAAATGTGCCTTGTTGTGTAATGCGCTGTAAATAAGGAAGCCATTCCTGCTTGAATAATGACTATATGATTCACTTAACAACTGCAGTGATTAGTTTAACAACTGTAACTATTTCCTCTTCATTGATGTTAAGGCAGTGGAAAGCTCACAAACAATAGTAAAAATAGTAACACAAGTAAAAAACAAAATAAAACATAAGAACCTCCCAGTTCCCCCAAATGCAAGGCATCCCTCACATCCAAACTGCACTTGAGAACTTCACTAAGATCCAGCCTTATACTACCTCAAGATTAATTCATGTAATCGCATGAATTCATTCCTCATTTTAAAGACTAACAGCACCATATTGGGTAGAATATACAGTATTCTATAAAAGTGGCACTGTTTTCTCCCATCTGAATTTAGGTTTTAGCATGCTGGAGAATGCACCTTGATATTGAAAATCATTTAGAGCTTCTATATAAAGACAGTCTACATTTGAAGAGCCAAGTCTTCTGTGCAAAAAGATGAGAAATAGGCAGCTATTTGCTAGTAGATTCCTTGAGATATTTCACTGGCATTGGTGTGTGCAAAAAGATAGAGCAGGTGACCTTTGGTAGGATTCCAAAAGAGACCTGTCATCTCCTTGGGAATTCTAATGGCTCTGTGACTTCATCCACCCAGGCTGAACTGTCACTAACTGTCAGTTTCAGTTATCAGAGTGAAGATGTCCTCCAAGATGTAGGTAGGTCTTCATAATGGTGGCTGGACTCTGGGGAACTGTCCCTCTTTTAGTAGACAATGTATCAGAGGGGTTGATTTTGCCTTTTCTTAGGAAAGGAAAGCAGAGAGAAGATGTACTCCAAAGAACACCCAGATCCTTCTCTTCTTTCTTTTATTTAATCAACTGGGACCATACACTCCCTTTAACTTGCTTCTTGAATTAGTCATATTTTCTTGAACTTTGAAGAAAAGCTGAAGAATAAACAAGAATAGCTTGTTTATTCTTCAGAGTGGAAGACAGTAAATCATCCAAAAGCAAACCAAGATTAAAATATACAGATCAACCCAATGTGGAACCACACCTTTTCCTCTTTGGTGCCCTGTGCACCACAAGGAAATTGTTAGGGAATCTCAGTGTCGGTTATTTGGAATCATTCAGTGATTGAGTCCTCGCCTTACTCTTGTCCCTTTCTGTTCTAAAGCTTTTCTCAATGGTTCCCCCCCCCCCATTTGGGTGCAAAAAGGTATGAGGGGGAAGGCTGGCTGTAGAAGTTGATGTTCAAAGTTCTTCAGTGCAGAATACCAGTCACTATATACAACAAAGGAGAAAAAAAAATAATCATGGATATTCGGCTCCAAAAGCATTGTGTTAAGAAAATCCTTTGCCCTTAGATGGGGGAAAATGAGAGGGGAAATGTAGGGAAGGAATGTCTTCAAGACTGGGCTCTTTCACAGAGATTTATATGCCTAAATAGTCTATTTGACCCAGAGGCAGAGCACAAGCCAACCCTTTTCTGAACCCCTTGCTCTTCTGACCACCCTGCCTTCCCTGGACGTTTTCTGCCTTCCATGGGGCCTTTTGGGAAATTTCTCAATTCTTTGCCAGAGATCTTAAATTCACATTGGTAAATATAGACCGCAGTTTACCTAAGGTTCTGAAAATGGTAACTAGGCCAAAGAGTACTATAGAGAAAATGATTTGTTATGTTAAGCAATTATCTTAACTGTAGTAGAAGAACAAGGAGTTTGTCTTCACTTCAGCAGAAACAATGCACAAACTCATCCAAGAGACATGGATGTAGGGACTCCTACAGACATTGTGCTTCCAAAAGTCATGCTAATAGTGGGAAGAGGATTGTATCACTGAGTGTAACTTCTACATTAATTTCCACATTTCTACATGCAAAGAATTAGTCCTCCTTTCCAACAAAATGGAAAATAACTGTTCTTGTGGTTTTAAGGGGGGCAACTCCCCAAAGGCATTGGGCTGATGCTGCTGGCATGCAGAAATGCTGGACCGGGTGATCATTGTTATCACATCAAAATGCTTATAGACAAGGAGGCCTGGGGTCTCCTTGGAAATTCCAGGGCCTTTGTGTCCTCATCCATCCATCACCAGGCGTAACTCTCAGTTACTGTACTCAGAGAGTAAAAAATCCCACTTCAAGATTTAAGCTGGATTTGTCAAGGGCTGCTGGACTCTGGGGAACTCTCCCCATTTTGTAGCCAACTTCTCAGAGATTCAAATATTCTAGGGGTGAAAATACCCATTTGCTCTCTCAAGAATGGGAAATGGGACAAATGTGCTCCATAGCATTTCTCTCTTTCATTGCTTACTGTTGTTAAAAGACAGGGTTGAGTTCCTTCTTCTCTGTTCTAGGGAATTTTTAAAGTGTTTTTTCTGCTTTCAGAGGAAAGCAAGAAAGCCTGGGACAAACAGCGATTCAGGAGATGGTCTTCAAAGTCCTTCAGAAGGAAGACCATGCAAACTGAAGGACACTACCAAGACTCTTAGGTGAGTCAAATTTGCCTTAGAACACCATAGATGGAAACTCCACGGGTACCTAGCAGTTCAAAAGCATGCAAATGCAAATAGATTAATAGGTACCACTTTGATGGGAAGATAACATTATCTGGAAATTGTCTTCAGACAACACTGGGTCCCTCAGCAAAGAAACAAAGATGAACAACATGCCCTAGAGTTGGACACAACTGACAGGGACACCTTTATCTTTAGGAATGAGAAGCAAAAGACAGATGTGCTTCAGAGCACTTCCCTCTTTCATTCTTTATTAATGTTAAAAGATGGGGCTAATTATTTTTCCAATTGATCAGGATCACATATGAACTTATGAATTAGGAAATGTTCAATCTGATAAACTCATGTGCTTGTGGAGCATATCAGACCATGCAAAAGCAAACAAGGTTAAAACTCATCAGTTCAACTCAGAGGTATAATTATTTTTTCCACTTTGAGTGATCTCCACACAGATATCTTGTTATAGGATTTAATCTGCCAGATTGAAACAAAGTGATTCCGGACAACAGACATTCATCTATTCCTTTCCACAGATTTCTTCTTCTCTGTTCTAGATTTTTTTTAGCTGTTTCCCCTATTTTCAGAGGAAAACAAAAAAGCCTGTGACAAACAGCAATCCAGGAGATGGTCTTCAAAATCTTCCAGAAGGAAGATCATGCAAACTGAAGAACACTACCAAAACTCCTAAGTGAGTCAGATTTGCCTTAGATATTGAACTCAAAAAAGTGGAGCAGTATGGTGAGTAGACACTTTGGGTTGGGATGGACTCCTCCATGTAGGCATCTAGGGAGCCACTTTTGCATCTTTGTAAAACCAAGGTAGTACAAAGCAACAGGGCAGAAGCCACATTGTTCCTGACCCCCTAAGCTGCCTTTCTCCTGAAATTCTTGAGTCCATATTAACTTTCCACACATTGTTTTACTTCCATGGGAATCTTCTGGAAAAGTTCGAGATTATTCAGTATCACCTATCTATTGGCAAATGGGAGGGAGAATATAGAGAATGGAATTTGCCTAAGGCCCCTGGGAGAATTTTCTCATGGCCAGAGACTTATCCAGCTCTATGAACCACAAAAACATTTTAATGGATGGAAATGAGTCTCAAAGAGAAGGACACTGCAAAGACAGGCCTGATTTTGGTGGGTTTTTTCAGCTGGAAGAGACCTAAACATTTGCTGAGGCTCACAGCCCTGTCTCTCATTTTCTGAATTTTCCCCAAAAATACACCTCAGTGGAAAAGGTCTTGTTCATAAAACAGAGCCCCAGCAAACATGTAAAGCCCAGTGTGAGGCTGCCTACATCAGATCAGATCTGTGGACCAGCCAAAAGCTTTGGCAAGGGTCCATGAGAGGAATATAGAAGCAGTCCAAAAAGTAAGTATGCTTTGGGCATAGAAGTTGCTATGGCTGAGTTTGGATCCCATGTTTGAATCCCAGTCCCTTTTGCCCAAACTCAATGTGGTGCAAAAGATTCCTCAGGATGGAGATAGTCTCAGAAGGATTCTCCACAGCCTCACAGAGGCTGATGCCTCCCTGACTTACAGCCCTATTCATTTCCATTGCAGCAAGACCACTACAGCATTCAGAGTTTGCATGCCATTGCTGCTGTGTTTCAGTTGAAGTAGAGTGGAGAAATGAATGTCCCAGTGCCCTGGAATAAAAACCTTTACAGCCTTGCTATCATGGTAAGAAAGTGGGAGAAAAGCAATAACTGGGGTCAAGCAAAGGAGGATGGGAAAAAAGTAGCAGTAGAGGGAGAAAATCTATCCCTGGATATTCAGATTTAGCAGAAGCTCCACTAGTCTATTAAAGAAACAGAATGAAACTTTCAAAAACAAGCCCATGGAAAGAGTTATCTTTGGATGGAAGGACAAGCTGCACCATAATAGCAAGTCAAAAGGGGCAGAGACAAAGAGGAAGGGCTAGAGTAACCTGACTGACCTTGAATTCTCTTCTTTCCACTCTTGTTTCCTGCCAATCTCTGTTGGAGGACAAGAGCAGTTTTTCCTCATGCAGGGATCTCTTCATGAAGGTGCCTACTTAACTGTAATGTTCCAAGGCCAGAATTGCAGATGAGAAAAAAGTGCTTATGGTGACCTTGAATTCTCTGATAGAAATGCATTGCCAAACTATCCTCCTTCCAAAGGAATTTGGATTTAAGAAGTGTGTGGCAATGTTACAGGGAGAACATGGCTCCAGAGGTCTAGAGAATAATTTACTATAAATTCTTATGCTTTGGCAAAGAGATTCTTGATTCAAAAAAAACAAGCAAAGGTGTTCTCTCTTTATCAGTTCCACAGAGCTTTGAGCCACACAGCTGGAGATGTTTCTCCTAGTCTCGAACCAGCTTCTCTATTGTGGAAATCTTCAGCCTAGAATTAATGAACATAGCAAACCTAAAACAGCATGGATTGTAAGCTTTGTGTGCTCCCCTGGTCTTGGGACCACAGCCTGACATAACCTCTCTGCTGGAACAAAAGGGCAGGGAGAGTTTTTCCTTTCATTCAACTCGATGGTGGACTAAGGAATCCTTGGACTGGACATCTTGGTGGTAATATTTATGTCAATAGGCCAAGGGGAAAAGGTGAATTACTTTCTCAGAAACCTTGGCAACAGAGCAATGGACTTCTTTCTATGCCCTTCAACTTACTAAAATCCATCAGGCATTTCCTGAAATTCCTGAGGAGGTCTGGGATACTGGAAAAATATATGGTTTCATTAATGAAAGTAATTTCATTTAGAGCATCAAGGGAAACAGATGGGGCAGTCACATGGAGGAGGGGGTCAACTTATTCTCCAAAGCACCTGACAGCAGGACAAGAAGCAATGGTTGGAGCTCATTAAAGAGAGATCCAATCTGGAACTAAGGAAAGATTTCCTGATATTAAGAACAATTAATCAATTGAACAGCTTATCTTCCAGAGTTGTGGGTGCTCCATCACTGGAGGTTTTTGAGAAAAGGTTGTATCACCATATGTCCAGGATGCAATCGGTCCCCTCTCTTGGTTAAGAGATTGGATTAGAAGACCTTCAAGGTTGCTTCAAGCCATATGTCTCTATGATTCTGTCTAAGGCAAGGTTAAACTGGGGAATCCTTGATGTTCTCTGAGCTTGGTGTTTCTTGCAGACACTTTATTATGTAACTGGGTGGCTGGTGCGAGGAATTTCTGACAGAAATACCATAGTAAAGATGGGTAATGTAGGATAATGAAATGTCTGCAAGAAAACAATCAAGCACCAATGACTCCACAGAGTCCTTATAATTTTAAAAAATCTGTTGAACAAATTCCCCTCAAATTGTACCCTGGAGTACAATTGCTTCCATTGTTTATTTTATTTTATTATTTTATTTTATTATTTTATTTTATTTTAATTATTTTATTTCATTATTTTATTTTCATTTCATTTTATTTTACTTTACTTTATTTTACTTTATTATATTTTATTATATTTTTATTTTATTATTTTTTAATCTCATCTTAATTCCATTGTCATTTCTACTCCCAAGTTTTTCATTCACTTTATCACTTAATTCTTAATTTGTTCTGTCTCTATGTACTTACTAATTGATGGAAAAATATAATTAATCTCAAGAAAGAAGAACCTTGAGAAAGATGATAGAATTTAAAATATTAATAGAAAAGCAGGACCCCATATTAGGTATGTGTAAATTGTTACAGAAATTTTTAAATTTCAGACATTAAAAATATACAGTAGTGTGAGTTTATATCCATCACAAAAGACAATAAGGGTTCAAATTTGTATGTAAGTTAAAGTTTCTTTTAATGTGATAATTGGGGTTTAGGATAGTGGTGTCTATTACTCCTGACTGTCCATTAAATCAGAGGGCATATCATAAATTACATCATTTGTGTCAATTTTGATTATTTGCATTTTTAAATCATATTACATACATACATACATACATACATACATATATATATATGTTTTCTGAGGTTTTCGCGGGTATTTGTATGTAGGTCTTTGGTTGTTCGGGTTTTCTCCCGCGTAAAATTTTACGCGGGAGAAAACCCGAACAACCAAAGACCTACATATATATATATATATATATATATATATATATATATATATATATATATATGCAAAATGTCATTTCTAAAAATGTATAATTTACATAATGATCTCACACAAATGATAATAATCTGTGCAGAAAATTGGTCTGCTATATGCAAAGACTGTTGCATTGAGATCCACTAAATCAAAATTTTTACCACAGAAGCATCTGCAGAGGACTAAATTAATCATGATTCTTGCATGTATGAACAAAATCCTGCCTCTTTTTATATATGCATTGATACCACATGAAAACTGCCCTCTTAGGGTCTTTCAAACATATGACATATGACTCAACTGTTCTTATATTTATACATTTTCACTCAATATCCTTTTATATAGCAAATAGAAAAGTGTTTTGAACATGTTGGCAGCACATATACTAAAATTGGAACGATACGGAAAACAATTGATGATTTTGCTTACCACAATGTTTAGAATACTATATGAACACTTGTAACTTGTTCCCTCAAGTTACATTTTGTACAATAAAAATGGTTAGGAGTGGATATCAGTGTTTGACTTCTGCCCCTAAAAATATGAATATTTGATAATATATTGCACATCAGTATGTCTACAATATCTATTTTCTCTAAGATAGTCCTACTACAACCAACAATAAAAAAACTAGATGCTTTGCTGATAAACATTTTATAATTTTGTTAACAGAGATGCATTATGACCACTGAAACTTTAATAAAGGGACTGGAGAAGATTATTACTAATCATGAAAGAAGATACAGTAATTTAATAAATACATAATATTAGTGTCAGACAACAAGAAATTACTTTGTCACTTAACAATTTAAGTGTAAACATTCTGAATTTTTTAAAAAAAATCTGTTAGCAAACCCATCAAATCTTTTTGGAATTATTGTCTATGATAATGGAATGACTGGGGAAAAACATCTGGAAAGATTTTAACTAAGCTAACACAATTATATATAACTCATACAGTTTCACTGAATACAGGTAGTCCTCAACATGACCTCAATGAGCCCAAAATTTCTGATGCTAAGCAAGACAGTTATTAAGTGAATTTTTCCTCATTTTATGATCTTCTTGCCATAGTTGTTAAGTAAATCTGGCTTCCCCATTAACTTTGCTTGTCAGAAAGTCACAAAGGTGACCTGAGGCACTACAACCTTCATAAATATGAACCGGATGCAGAGCATCTGAATTTTAATCACATATTCATGGGGATGTTGCAATGGTCGTAAGTGTGAAAAATGGATATAAGTCACTTTTTCAGTACTGTTATAACTTTGAATGGTCACTAAAATGAATTGTTGTAAGCCGAGGACTACCTGTAAGAAGATGATCATGGTGATGATAATCCTGTAATGTAAATTGGATTTCATTGATGATTAATCTGTAGCCTAACAGCAAAAGGCAGGCAATAGTATTATTTCTCTACTGAGAAATAAATATAACTAAATCTAGCTTGCCTTAGTGACTAATGAAATTATAAAAAAATGATTAATTATATGGGTGGTTTTGGTAAATTTAATAATTTGTATTAATTTAATTGCCAATTGATAGAAGTGGAAATATCATAAATGAGGTTTCAGTGGTTTCTCTGAAAATTCTTAAATTCATGTAAGATAAAGTTGATATGTGAGTAATATGCAAATAGATTGCATATGTGTATGTTTAATGTATGTTCTTTTCCAGTATTGACTTTATTCTGCTCATACATTGTTGGCAGACCTAAGTTAAACATTTACAGAGAAGCAAAGATCTGTTGCATTGAATAAATTTGCTAATGCAAGACTGAAAATCCAGATGGTGAAGATATTGACAAGGAGATTCAGAAAACTCTTTTTGCTAAAATCAAGTGAGCAGTTGGATTTTTTCAAGTCAGACATGGCAGCCTTAACTAAGTGAAGTGTCAACAAGAACATCATTTCAATTAATTGCCTAGTGAGTAGGGTGAAATCAATAAGAAATTTAACACAGGTGGTCAATTTTTTGATGGCCCATTGACATAATCAACATTTCCGAGAAATTGAGGGCCACAAAGATGAGACATTATTGCAAAGTAGAGGGGGTTATATTTATGGATGCAAACAGGATCTTTCAGATTTTATTTTACAGAGTTAGAAGACAGTGTTAGGAAATAATGTAGGAGAAAGAGTGGCAGAACTTGGGGATGGAGTGAAAAGGGAAATCTCTATGTAGCCACAAGAGAAGTAAATTCAATCCCCCTTGAATGTCATTGATCCTTACCTAACTTTAACAGATGCTGACTAGTTTAACTGAATCTTTACATGTGTACCTGGACTTTTGCACCTGACAGATGTAGCATCATTTCTGTGTTTATCCTGACTTAAAGAGGCAGACGGGATTGATTAGGAGGCACAAAATAGTAGTTTGGAGGCAGTCTGCAGCTCTGTGGCTCAGGTAGTTTATCCTTTTACATGTTTATATTATAATTAAAATTGAGGGGGAAAATAATGGAGGGGGGATGCAAAGAAATGACCAAAGAAAAATTTGTGTAAGGTCTTAATGCACGATGCTCTAGTTGTATATTTAGTTAAAAAAAAACAATAGCAAGAATATTTAAACCCAATGGCAGAGATATATTTAATCTTCAGTAAAAGTCAACATTGGATTCCTGTATGTTTCTGCAACAATTTCTATATTATATATGGAATTCTGAAATGCTTAGAGTAATGGCAACAGAAGCTAAAACTATCTTACATAATTCTTTGTTAGCAATCCAAATTTTAAATATATATAAAATTTGGATTGTTAACAAAGAATTATGTAAGATAGTTTTAGCTTCTGTTACCATTATTCTAAGCATTTCAGAACTATAAATAGTGCAGTAGACTCATGGAAGCAAGTCTATACATATCTAATTTAAGTTAATTAAAGTAAATGTAGTTAACAGCAGAATGTTTAAAGACCCCAAAGGAATGCATTGCCATGATTGCCATCAATCTAAAACAGGAGTGTCAAACTCAATTTCACTGAGGGCTGCATCAGCATTGCGGTTGCCCTTGGGGGGGTGGGGGGTGTGGCCAGGGTGGGTGCGGCCTACTGGGTGGTGTGGCCAATTCTACATCATTCGCATCAAGGGTGCCTGTGGGGCCTTGGCAGGAGTGGGACAGATCTGAGGGTCTCTGGCAGAAGGGGGTGCCAAGTGCCAAGGCATGGTCCACTGGGGCAAGTGCCAAGATTGCCACCACAAAATTGTACATTGGCTCCCGGCTGGCCTGGGCCAGGGCCAAGGCAGCGGGGGCCATTCCCTCACTGTTTCCAGGATGGCTTCACGGGCCACATGAAACCACTTTGCGGGCCGCATTCGGCCCCTGGCCCTTGTGTTTGACATGTCTGATCTAGAATATACATGTTCTGTTCATTTCACTATAGTTTGGAGGAAGGAGGAAGAATTAATTCTATACTGCCTCATATTTATATGGATAAATTTTTGTTTGTTTTGGAAAGAAAGAGAACATGAAAAATTGGCTTTTATGAACTCAATTTATTTTCTTAACAATATAAACAAAGGTCTGGTATGAATAGAGCTCTGAGGGGTCCTTGGGGCTATCTGAGCTTGGATGTTTTCTTGCAGATGTTTCATTATCCAAACTATGTAACATCATCAGTGCTGAGGCAATCATGTACCTAAAGTGAAAATCTTTTTAAATAATTAAAGTACTAAAATTATTTAACACATGTAAGCTCATGGCATACCATAGTGCCATTAGTTTTGGATATACTAGACACTTTTCTATGAACATATGAAAAAGTTTAAAGGTTGTAGCTGTCATGGTTCCAATAGAAATAGATGAATAAAGCAGAACTCTGAAGCTTGCAAATTCCTCAAAGAACATGTTTATTATTTACAAAGTATCAGCACAGTCAAGAGTGAAACCAAATCTGGATACAGAAGCAACAATTTCCCAACACAAAGTTAAATGTCCCACCCACAAAAGCTAAATAGTAATAATAATAATAATAATAATCAGGAGTCAGTAGAAACATCAGAAAATTTGTGCAAAGATCGATGGCACAATGGAAGACACAGTTGCAGATCAATGGTGAGAGACTGGGAGAGGTTAATATCAAGAGAGATAGATATCTATCTCATAATATCTATCTATTCTCTTAAGCATTTGTATTTTGTAATATTGCCATTGGTAAATTTTAGTTCTTTGTGTGTGTGTGAACATATACACAGAAACATATATCTATCATCCCCCATCTCCTCTATCCATTATTGCCTGGATATCTTTCTAAGCTCCTTAACAATATAGAAGTCAAACTCTCCCATTTTTAGGAAAATTTTCAAACTTGTTTCAATTCATTGTTGCTGGAATCACATCCAGTAGCTTACTCTTAATTGCCATTGTTTACCTTGAATCTGACAATGATATTTGCAATCAGTAATTTTCAGTGGAAAGAATCTATTTATCTTCAACCTGGATATAATCAAAATTACAGGAATTCCAAACTATACATGTTTAAATGTTTTGCAGGATGCCCTTAACTCAGCTTATAATTACAGTTAGACAAAACATCAAAGAAGTTTTGAATATTAAATGAACAATGAATAATTTAGCTATTTAAAGAAAATTATTTAATGAAAACATATCTGCTGGAAAGTCCTCGGTACTTTCAGACTCACTGAACTTTCCAAATTGTCAACAGATCATGCCTTGGTTTACACAAAATGTAAACCCAGGATGTTTAAAATTATGATGTATTTAAAAAAAATTTTGCATACCAAGGAAAAATGTCTACAGCAATTACATAGATATCCTTTTGGCTTGATTAAGAACAATTTGCATAACGTTGGATGGAAAATAATATAATATATACAAAATTGGCATAATCTATTTTAGAGTATGTCAATCTGTGATATGATAAAAGGACAACAATGACAAAATAGCAAAGCAGGAGGACTAGCAAGTAGTAGAAAGATAAAATCAGTAAATGAACTCCATCTTTAGGATAGCTTCCATACAACAAACATAAAGCAGATCAATTTCTTTGCCTAAAACAGTGTTATTTACCATAGTTGTAGACCAGTTTCCTTCCTTGCTTTTCTGACAACTTAAAATAGCAGGGCAAGTATTGATGTTCGTTAGTGTCTTCAACTTCTGATCCTCTCAAAAGAATCATTGCCTATGCTGTTTCTACCACAAGAATGGACTTAGACCTTTTGTCCTCCAGTTTAAGCACACACAGTATATACTCAATTTCCTTCAATTGACAGAACTGAGCTTATGGTCTCCTAGTATTCCATGATTGCCTGTTTCTAGATGATCTACATAAATCAGGGGTGTCAAACTGCCAGCCGGCGGGCCGGACACATCACGAGGAAACCGTGCCCACCCATTGCTGCCAATAGGAAAAAAGTTCCGATACGTCACACAACATCACGTGACATTGTGAGTTTGACATGTCTGACATAAATAGATCTTATAGGCCTTATCATGCATACAGATTAGCCTTAGCTCATCTCAGTTGCAAGGCACCTGTATATTAGGCTGAACAATTAGCTTTTCAAAAACTTTCAAACTTTCAAAGAGAAGCTGACTGTTGTAAGGAAAAAAAAAAGAATATATTACCTGATTGAAAGATTCTTGCTTGCCTGTTGTGATTTCCTTTGTTATGCTACAGTTATGCTCTTCTTATGGATAACCAGGATTTTTTTGAAAATTCACGGCCTGTTGTTAATGCTCTTGTTTCTTCATGTATAAAAACTTTCCATCATTAAAATCTGCAAGGTGAGCAAGTGGGAAATAGCATCAGACAAAGGTTGCATCTGACATGCATGTGTCTGATGTTGCAAGTAAGGGTAGGGATAACATTTGTTTTATAATATCCCCATGCACACCATCATTTTGACATCATTGTTTGCAGCAGATGTTTTGTTCTGCAGTCTCAGAATTGCTTGTCATTAGTAGGTTTCCCATAGGCTACACTCACTCTAAGATTAAGGGCTAAAGAAGACTGTATTATGGCAGCACAATGGATCTTAAAATTTCAGTCCCTCTGTGGCTAAATAAGTTGGAGCAAAGAGGAGAAGATACAGAGGGAAGAGGAAAAGGAGGAAGAACTATTCAAAACTTCAATTTTTGTCTTCCTTAAATTGTTAAACATGTTGCACTTGCCACCATTCTGTTAAGTAACCATATTTGTTTTTCTGTCTTTAATTGCAGAGTCTATAAACTCATCTAACAAGATTTTTTTTTAAAACCCAAACTGGCAAATGGTTTCTATAATTTATGTTGGGCATCAGTTATACTTTTTAAGTGAATGCACAGACATCTGAGATTGTGCCCTATTTTTATATTATAATGTCACTTTGTAATTTTTGTCCTGAGGAAAGAATTGTATTAGCCTTTTTGGAAAATGTCATCTTCTTTCACTTTGCTGTAACTGATTTAGATTTTTTGTTTATTATTTTCTTTGACTTGTTGGAACTGATTTATCACATTTGGAACATAGGTTTAATGCAGTTATCTCACCTTTTATTTTTAAAGAAATCTCCTCCAAAAGATAGCATGGCCTTTGTTTTTAGAAACAGAACAATTTGAAAGGTAAGACTTGTTGTTTAGCCCTTAAATATATTAGAAAGAGGAATCCCATTGAGAATAAAATTATTGCCTTTCTGTAAAAAAATAAAACAAGGCTTTAAGCAAAATTATATATTTTTTTACTTGCTATCAGAATTTAAAGTGTATTTTAGAGCACCAAACAAAGGATTACAAAAATTACAGAATTACAGGTGGAAAGGATCTTGGCGATCTTCTAGTGTCAAACTCGCAATGTCATGTGACATGTCATGACATATTGCGACTTTTTTGCCATTGCCGGCAATGGAGTGGGTGTGGTTTTGCTATGATGCATCCGGCCTGCGGGCCAGCAGTTTGACACACCTGTTCTAGTCCAATCTCATGCTCAAGCAGGAGACCGTATATCATTCTGGACAAATAGCTGTCTAATCTCTTCCTAAAAACCTCCAATAATGGAGCACCTACAATTTCTGGAAGCAAGTCATTCTACCTATTAATTGTTGTCACTGAAAGGAATTTTCTCTGGCCATGGAACCTTCTATTTAAGAAAACTGCTAAGACTCTTGGTCAAAAGTCATAGAAAACCACCTGCACTTGGGTTTTCTCAAACCTAACCCTAAATATTTTTCTTTTGCCCTTAGTTTCTCACAGAACCCCATTAAGTACTTTTGGAATTCAGAGTCACACAGAATGTATTTTGAAAAAAACCCTCCATAAATGCATTGCATTTTCCACTGTACCATAAATGAGTTATGGCAATGTAATACATTCTGAAATACACAACCAGAAGAGTCGGCTTGCCTGTCTTACCTCATAGATTTGGAAATGTAGGACTTCCTTCATGGTGTGTCTCTAACAGTTCAATAAATGCCTTTGGTAAAGTAACCAAAAGAATGCTTCCTTTCTTAACTGGAAAACTTGAGGGAATTTCAAAGTATGTGTCTCTCTGTATATTGGTAAACATGTATATATGTAAATGTGTACATATCTTGATTAATTAGAAAACTTAGCACAGTCCAGTGAAGATTCCTAATACTGCATTTAATATATTCGAAGGAGTGCAACTACTTCTTCCATGTTTAATTCAGTTATGCTGTTGAACATATGTGAGAGAATAGGTTGTCTGTTTTTTTTGTTTTTTTTTTACTAATTTTGGAACATACCAGTTCTGTAAGTGCCAAGAGAGATATACATTTATTCCGTACAACAGTCCTTTAGAAGTTAAAACACATAAGCTGTTTGTTTTTGACTAGCTATTGAGAAGATAAACAAAAATGTTTGTCTTATATTGCCAATTATAGAGAAAAGCTGAAAGTGAATGATGGCATCAGCCTGAACAGTAATTCTATTTTATTTACACCAAACAGTCAATTTAGTATGATTTTACTCTTCATTCTGAAATTTAGCATATTGCTCAAAGTGCTAAGAATGCTAAGAAAATACTGCCTGCTAAGCAACATAGTTAAAAATTATACAAAAGGAAGATATTTACACAGATAGGAAAGCCAGATGAATTATTGCCCTAAATTTGTGGATTGTTTTTTTTTAGATTCCACAGAAATTGTGTGATCTGTCCTCACTTATAATTCTTTTAATCTTACTTAGTCCCAGTAATATTCCTATGCTTTGCCTCAACTTACTTTGTTCTTATTAACTCTTACTGATATTAGCACGGAATAAAAAAAGTAACAACACAGCGACATAGCATCACAGCTGATTAATGTGTAGAGTTGGAAGAAAAAGAAAATCTAAATAATGAGGAAAAAGATAACTTCACATTACTGGCAACCTAGAGATGCTGAACAATAATAATGAAGCAATGACACATGCTTGAATATATTTTAGCAATATTCAAATAAATATGTTCAATATTAATTATTAATATTTATTATTAATGAAGTTTTGCATTCTAGCTTTCCAGATTCTGCAATCTGCTTTTAAATGACCCTTTTTCTTGCACACAAAGCATTCACGTGTTTCTTGCTTCATATAACTGTTTTTATTCCTATTTTTTGTTTTTAAAACAGACTCTGCGATAGAAGCACCGTCATTATTAATGCTTTCTGTTTTACACTTTTATTCATCTATAGGCTTGCCTTTAACATATCCCAATGTTAGCTCATCATCTGGATGTGCATCAAGCACTGTGACAAGCATTTCAAAACTTTGTGGTAAACCACTAAGTAATAGTGCTGTGACAATTGTATTTCTTCTCCTATACCTCTCAGGTGTTCAATCATTTCCAAGGTTGTAATCCTGCGTATGCTGGCCTTTCATCAGCTTGGGTGCAATAAATGCAGTTTATTGCTTAGATTAGCTCTTTCATGCACCTTTTGTAATACTTCCCACATTTCTTTAGCAATTTCACATTTACATATATGTATGATTTGATCATCTGTACTAAGAGAGATTGTGTTCTGAGCTTTCTGATTTTTCTCTATCTACTCATCTGAAAGGTGTTCTGACCTAGCTTCATTTATACATTTCCACATACCCTCTCTTATTAGCAGCATTTTCATCTTGAATTTCCAAGACTGGTAGCTCTGGTTTGTCAGATTTGTAAATGAAATCTTTGTTTCAGCTTTGTTACTGGCCATTTTCTTTTATTCTGTTGCAGTCTTCTTTTGGTTGCTGTATCTTGCACTTATTTGCTGTAGCTGGCTATGACTGGTGCACTGAACTTTATATTTCTCTAGGTTTATACTGGATTTATACCAGATTCATCTCTGGATTTATCACTGATCTACCTGGTTTGCCTAGGTTGATATTGGACCCATAACCTATTTTATTATATAGAAATATAGGATTTTTATATAGCCATACAGATTGGTAGCAGAGGAGGGTTACATAACCATACAAATCAAAGTGTACAGTATACAGTCACCAAGGGCCTTGCTGCTTAATGGTGTCACAGGAAACTCTCCTCAGAACATAAAGGAACCATAGATTATAACCATAGATGCATACTGAACACTGACCTCCATTGGCTAAATAATTCTGTAGTTGTTGAAATACAAAATTCCAACACAGAGAAGACCTGAATATTGTTGGGGTTAAAAGGAGGGCTGAGAAGATATCTGTAGACCCCTCACATCCTCAACATAAACTGTTTCAACTCCTCCCCTCACAATGGAGCTATAAGGCATTCATGCCAAAACAGCTAGACATGGGGACAGTTTTTTCCCCTCATGCCAACACTCTGCTGTACACCTAATTCTCACAGTGCTGTTTAATGTCTATGTATTTATTCATGTAGTATGGCTGTAGTATTATTATTTATCCTTATTATCTTCCTTACTCCCAACTCTTACTGGTATTATGATGATTATTACCATTATTCTGTTGTTTTGCATGTAGGCTGAGACCTTCTGCACCAGAAACAAATTCCTTGTTTGTCTAATTACACTTGGCCAAATGAAGTATTCAATTCAATTCAATTCAAATATAAATACATCAATACAAACTGAGCAGAATGTCTGTAGTTTGTTTTTTTAATTCTCAATTTTAGTGCCATCTATTGCTATATTTAAAAATGCACATTATTAGCCAGTATATTAGTATACTTATTTCAATTGATCAGAAGGTTTGGAAAAGTGTGATTTAATATGTTCTTGAAAGACAAGTTTACAGTTATTTTCAAGAAAAACTATTCTGAATTGAAGTACTAATTATACTGTACTGAAAACACTTTACTTTGGTCAGAATTTGGTCTATCAAAAATGTTTCTGTTCTCTGTAAGATAAATTGCACAACATTAGGCAAGTATTTGTCATTTGCAGAGGTAAAAATTAATCATTTGATTGATTGCAATCTAAACAATAGAATTTCAAGTACTTTTTTCCTGTTTTCCTTGAAATTATTTTCATTGGCTCAATCAGTTCTCCAGTTAAAGTATACAATTTTACAATTTTGCTTTGCTGTTTCTGTTATTAATATGTCATGGTTTTTATACATTTCAGTTTATTACTTTATATAGTTTATTGCATTTAATTGAACAATATGAGAGGTGTAGTAGTTATGGCATCAGGCAAGAAAATAGGAGATTATGAGTTCTAATTCCATTTTAGGCACAAAGCCAGCTGAGTGACTTTGGGCCAATCACTTTCAGCCCTAGGAAGAAGGCACTAGCAAATTACTTCTGAAAAATCTTGCCAAAGAAAACTGTAGGGACTAGTTCAGGTAGTCACTAGGAGACAACACAGAAACACACACACAGCTATATCTGTATCATTAGCTGAAGTAAGACAGTAGCTTCAAGGAAGCAAATTTTGGGAGATAGCTGTCATCTGCTGAAGAACAAAGCTATCACATCACTTGACTGTGATTCTCACTTAGTCAGATTTAGTATAGACTATTCTTTCCCATCATTTCCATCCCCCCCCCCAAAAAAAAGATTCATCTACAAATTTAGTTAGGTAAAATAAAAAGGAAAAGTGAGGTCATGTTCATAACTTTAGATAGAAAAATATCTTGGGTTAATCCTCCTAGGATTATACATGAAAATTATCCCTTTGATATCTAGGTTTTTCACATGAAACAGTGTTTTAATAAAAACAGAATTGTCTGGAAGTTGAGTCATGGCCTGAGCAGTTTGAGCAGCCCCTCCCATTTTTTTATGCTCTTATGAGTCCCCAAGAAGATTAAGACCACTTCACAGGTTCACCATGGAAGACCACACTTAATGATCTGTAAGAATTTTAGGAGTTGGTATGTTCCAACAACTCTCTGGCTACTTAGATTCCTCCAGACCAACTTGATTATATTGAAGAAGCTATTTAAATAAGCAGCAAAACTTTTCAAACCAACAAGAAAATATATCTAGTTGTCATGACTCAACTTTCAGACAACTTTACCTGGATGATTGAGAATTTTCATCAAAACATACAAAGTTGTTGTTTTTTTAAAAAAATGTTTAAAAATTAATTCTAGATTAATTTTAAATTCTTAAACTATTATTAATTTTAAATTGTTTTTTAAACATTAATGTAAAATTAAGCAGAAATGCTGTGATATCTTAAGTTATGACACTCTTTCTATTTTCAGCCAGCAAATGCTTATTTGGACGAGCATTGTCCCTATTGTCCTGTTCACTAAGGAAAGATTTTAACCTAACAGATGATGTTGGCAGCAAGCAGGAATTTAATGCATGAGTACATATTTGCTAAATGTCTTTGTCTTAGGACAGCATGGCTAAATTCCTTGATTAAAGCTACTATACACCAATCATGATTCAGAAAAGAGTAGCTGAAACAATTAATGGAGGTTACATGCCAACATTTTTACAAATACAAACCATCTGAACCACAAACTCTGAATCTTTTATTGAAAAGATATTCACTTTGCTGGGAAAGTCTGTCTTACCTGCAAAATAAAAATGTAGAATAGGGAGCCAGCAGCCATAGCCTTCTGAAACTGAGGGTCTACAGAAAAATATAAGAAACTGGATTGCAGGAGAAATGTTAATGGTCTGCAAAAGCAAACAGATGGCAGTTTGCTGCAACATTGGAAATTTATGTATGCTTTTCTGATATCTTCCAGAAGCTTCCAACAAGAGAAACCATACAATTATACAATGACAATCAATTTTATACAGAAGGAACATTAATTGTACAATGTATTTTAAGAATTAACTAATAAAAAGAAACTATGCTAAGGTGGGAAGAAAAGGATTGGTATTACTTCTCATTTTGTCCCACTTTTAAATGTGAAATTAAATTGACTCTGTATCCTAATGTGATCATATTGTGCATATCCTTGCACTGACAGTACAGTTCTGGTTTAGGACCAGCAATTCAGTCATGAAATGAAGAAATCACATTACATTCCCATTTGATAACCCAGGTTTTTTTTTTAGTTTTTCATAGTACATTTGCTTACAGTTGTCTACCCTTTTAAATAATACATTCTAACCTTAGGAATTAATAATTTCATTAAAGTGTTTTTATGGGGTGCTCTTATTTACTGTGTTACCCCCAAAACAAGACCCGCTCTTATTTTTCTTTTGCCTTCAAAAGAGGTACCAGATCTTATTTCCAGGGGGGTGTCTTTTCCACTCATCTCGTGGCGGTGGCACTGACAGCCCCGCCCAGCTGGCCCACTTCTTCTGCAGCCGAAGGAGCAGCTTTATTCTGCAGCTGAGAATGGAGCCCTGGCCTGCATTTCATAGTCAGAGGCCTTTCTGGAAGACCTCTGTGGCTGAGAACCAAGCAGAAGCCTTCTGGAAAGTGTGAAATGCAGGCTGGTGTTGTGATTCCGTGCCAGCCTGTGATCCCGGTAGTTGAGTCTGGGGAATCAGAGGA